CAACAAGCGCAACCACTCCAGCAACGACCAATGAGCTGTGGCAGGAAGAGCCCTGGGCTCTCCTGGTGTTGGGAAAACACAGGAAAATGGTCAGGGAACCCTCAGATGTTCAGAATCTTGCCGAGCATTTGATGTAAATATGCACGTGTGCCTAGGTGTTTCTTGGTTATCGTCTAATGTAATTGCGCATGTGCACTCAGGTGTCCTGGGTTATGGACTTAAGTATAAAGGACGAGTGGCTCTGATCCATGGTGCCCCCCACCCCTGGGATGCCCCTGGGGGGGGGCCATGAGGAGGCCACTACTGCTCCTGGGGGCTGTTGCTGCAAGCTGTTGCTGTCAGTGCACCCAGGACCCTCTGGGAGACCACCGCCACCACCACCACCACCAGACCTGTAAGTTGCTGGACCTGTAAGCTGCTGCTGCTGCTTTTGCTGTGGACTGAGCTTGCGTCGTCTGCCAATGGCTCCCAGGATCTTTCCCAATTACCTAGCATGGACCTGTGTGTGGGGGGTCTGGGGACCCAGTCTGTACAATGGGTTTGAAAGGTCTGAGCCTTAGCCCTGACAATACAAAAGGAAACTTTGTATAACTAAAATAACGAAACATTTGCTTTAGTTATGATTTGCCTTACTGGACAACTGGCATAGTTGTGTAGCTTTACACTGGGCTGCGGCAGTGGGGGACTGAGGGCCTCGGCCACACCCCCTCCTCCTGCAGCCAGCCCAGCAACAAGCAACACGGAGCTGCAGCAAGAAGGGCCCCAGGTTCCTGAGCTGGAGAGGTGGGAGGCAAGGGCTTTGCCACACCCTCCTGACATCTGACCAAGCCACTGCTGGAAGCCCCCTGGTCTCCCCTGTGGGAATGTGGGGGGTGCCACAGGCTTCAATACCTCCCTCCTCCTTCCTCCTTCCATCACATTTCCTTCCCCCCCCAACTGCTCTGCAACAACATCATAGAGTGTAAGAAAAATTAATAAAATAAAAAAATCTGATCTGACAATCCTGTATCTTAACCAGAGTTTAATTCATTTAGAAATGTATGATTATGACATTTATTTTAACCATCCTATTTTTGTGCTCGCTAATGGTCAATTTTTTTTCCCTCCTTTCTGGCATTTTTTAGAGTTGATCAAGGTTTTCTTTTCCCCTGATTTTCCCCCCACCACTCGCTTGGAAACTGCACATTCCATATCTATTATTTCAGTGGCTATCCAAGATACTCTATTATGGATATTTAATTTAACAAAGTCTAAAGTTAATACAGTATATACTGTCCTTCCAGACCAAAAAACCAAAAAAGACTTTAGAACACCTTGTCTCTGGTCAGCTCCTCCTCCTGATTTATATCTTAATGTCTTGAAGACTAAGGTATATGTTTACTATTTCCTTCTTAGATCTTCCTTCAGGAAATTTCCTTCTTCCACCAAGAGCTTCTTTAGATGTTTCTGTATCAAAGATCCATTGGTGATAAACCATTTTGTCATTTTTCTGAATGTCTTTATTTTACCTTCATTCCTGAAAGACAACTCACTGGGACCTAATTTTAGGTTGAAGGTTATTTTTCTCACCCCTTTGAAGATATCATTCCACTGTTTTCTGCTTTGTTGTTGCTGTTGAGACATCAGCTGCCAGTGTCATTGTCATTCCTTTTAGGACAGTATCTTTTCTATCTGGCTGTTTTGGGGATCTTAATTTTTGTCTTTGGCGTTCCCCAGTTTTCCTTCGTCCATTTGTTCTACAATTGTTATAAAGCATTTTCTGGGTGCTGGCACCATTCAAAGTGCTGAAGATGCAGTAGTGAGTGAGCAATGTTCCGTTATGATGACCGTGACTGTGGGTTTCTTTTTATTTGGGAATTGTTTGGCTTCTTGAATCTGAGGTTTGGTGCTCCATTTTGGAAAACACTCTGCCATTATCTTTTATGTGGCTTCTTCTCCACTATCTCCTTCAGGAGCTCTTACTATATTTATGTTGTAACTTCTCAGTCTGTCCTTTTTTTAACCTGTCATGTTTTCTGTCTCTTTTTGCTACATTCTGAATGATTTCTTCAAATCTGTCTTCCAGGATGCTGACTCCCTCTTCAGGTGTGTCTGTTCTACGAGGCAACCTATCTGTTGAGTTCCTGAGTTCAATCACTGTATTTTTCATTTGTAAAAAGAAGGCTCCTCTTTCTGGACCTGTGTCCCCAGCAAGGATCTAGGAGGTCAGTTTTCACACTGTGCTCTGGGGAGCCCTAGGTCCCCTGGGAGAGGTGGGAGGAGGGTGCTCTGTCAGATTTGCTCTCTTGTATATACTGGCTAATATTTCTTTTGAATAAAGGGTTTGAAATAAAATTCATTTTTAAAACCACTGGGCTGGGGGAGCTCTAAGCTCCCTTCAAGCTCAAATCAGTGATTCTGAGTTTCAATCTCAGATATGATAATGTTTTATAGCAAGCTGTTGACTCTGCAGATAGATTCTGGACCTACAGGTGTGCACACAAGCACCCAACCACCTGGAGAACTAGATCCTCAGAGTTCTGCTGTTGCTAGTGAGCAGAACCTGTTTTACTTACTGAAATATTTTCCAATCTTTGAAAACTTGTAAAAAGCTCTCCATAAATGTTTATAGACTTGATTATAAATGAATAGATGGATGGATGGTCAGACTGGTCACCCCTTCCCTCTCTGTGAATAATTACATAGTAATATGAGATCAAAGATTTATTAAACACTTATGTTACACCATTTTCAATCCTCACTAATCCCTGAGTCAGGGGGGGGGGGGGGGGGGGGGGGGGGGGGGGGGGGGGGGGGGGGGGGGGGGGGGGGGGGGGGGGGGGGGGGGGGGGGGGGGGGGGGGGGGGGGGGGGGGGGGGGGGGGGGGGGGGGGGGGGGGGGGGGGGGGGGGGGGGGGGGGGGGGGGGGGGGGGGGGGGGGGGGGGGGGGGGGGGGGGGGGGGGGGGGGGGGGGGGGGGGGGGGGGGGGGGGGGGGGGGGGGGGGGGGGGGGGGGGGGGGGGGGGGGGGGGGGGGGGGGGGGGGGGGGGGGGGGGGGGGGGGGGGGGGGGGGGGGGGGGGGGGGGGGGGGGGGGGGGGGGGGGGGGGGGGGGGGGGGGGGGGGGGGGGGGGGGGGGGGGGGGGGGGGGGGGGGGGGGGGGGGGGGGGGGGGGGGGGGGGGGGGGGGGGGGGGGGGGGGGGGGGGGGGGGGGGGGGGGGGGGGGGGGGGGGGGGGGGGGGGGGGGGGGGGGGGGGGGGGGGGGGGGGGGGGGGGGGGGGGGGGGGGGGGGGGGGGGGGGGGGGGGGGGGGGGGGGGGGGGGGGGGGGGGGGGGGGGGGGGGGGGGGGGGGGGGGGGGGGGGGGGGGGGGGGGGGGGGGGGGGGGGGGGGGGGGGGGGGGGGGGGGGGGGGGGGGGGGGGGGGGGGGGGGGGGGGGGGGGGGGGGGGGGGGGGGGGGGGGGGGGGGGGGGGGGGGGGGGGGGGGGGGGGGGGGGGGGGGGGGGGGGGGGGGGGGGGGGGGGGGGGGGGGGGGGGGGGGGGGGGGGGGGGGGGGGGGGGGGGGGGGGGGGGGGGGGGGGGGGGGGGGGGGGGGGGGGGGGGGGGGGGGGGGGGGGGGGGGGGGGGGGGGGGGGGGGGGGGGGGGGGGGGGGGGGGGGGGGGGGGGGGGGGGGGGGGGGGGGGGGGGGGGGGGGGGGGGGGGGGGGGGGGGGGGGGGGGGGGGGGGGGGGGGGGGGGGGGGGGGGGGGGGGGGGGGGGGGGGGGGGGGGGGGGGGGGGGGGGGGGGGGGGGGGGGGGGGGGGGGGGGGGGGGGGGGGGGGGGGGGGGGGGGGGGGGGGGGGGGGGGGGGGGGGGGGGGGGGGGGGGGGGGGGGGGGGGGGGGGGGGGGGGGGGGGGGGGGGGGGGGGGGGGGGGGGGGGGGGGGGGGGGGGGGGGGGGGGGGGGGGGGGGGGGGGGGGGGGGGGGGGGGGGGGGGGGGGGGGGGGGGGGGGGGGGGGGGGGGGGGGGGGGGGGGGGGGGGGGGGGGGGGGGGGGGGGGGGGGGGGGGGGGGGGGGGGGGGGGGGGGGGGGGGGGGGGGGGGGGGGGGGGGGGGGGGGGGGGGGGGGGGGGGGGGGGGGGGGGGGGGGGGGGGGGGGGGGGGGGGGGGGGGGGGGGGGGGGGGGGGGGGGGGGGGGGGGGGGGGGGGGGGGGGGGGGGGGGGGGGGGGGGGGGGGGGGGGGGGGGGGGGGGGGGGGGGGGGGGGGGGGGGGGGGGGGGGGGGGGGGGGGGGGGGGGGGGGGGGGGGGGGGGGGGGGGGGGGGGGGGGGGGGGGGGGGGGGGGGGGGGGGGGGGGGGGGGGGGGGGGGGGGGGGGGGGGGGGGGGGGGGGGGGGGGGGGGGGGGGGGGGGGGGGGGGGGGGGGGGGGGGGGGGGGGGGGGGGGGGGGGGGGGGGGGGGGGGGGGGGGGGGGGGGGGGGGGGGGGGGGGGGGGGGGGGGGGGGGGGGGGGGGGGGGGGGGGGGGGGGGGGGGGGGGGGGGGGGGGGGGGGGGGGGGGGGGGGGGGGGGGGGGGGGGGGGGGGGGGGGGGGGGGGGGGGGGGGGGGGGGGGGGGGGGGGGGGGGGGGGGGGGGGGGGGGGGGGGGGGGGGGGGGGGGGGGGGGGGGGGGGGGGGGGGGGGGGGGGGGGGGGGGGGGGGGGGGGGGGGGGGGGGGGGGGGGGGGGGGGGGGGGGGGGGGGGGGGGGGGGGGGGGGGGGGGGGGGGGGGGGGGGGGGGGGGGGGGGGGGGGGGGGGGGGGGGGGGGGGGGGGGGGGGGGGGGGGGGGGGGGGGGGGGGGGGGGGGGGGGGGGGGGGGGGGGGGGGGGGGGGGGGGGGGGGGGGGGGGGGGGGGGGGGGGGGGGGGGGGGGGGGGGGGGGGGGGGGGGGGGGGGGGGGGGGGGGGGGGGGGGGGGGGGGGGGGGGGGGGGGGGGGGGGGGGGGGGGGGGGGGGGGGGGGGGGGGGGGGGGGGGGGGGGGGGGGGGGGGGGGGGGGGGGGGGGGGGGGGGGGGGGTCGTGAGTGCTGCAGACACCTCCTGCCTGTAGCCCCAGGGTCCCCAGGCACCAAATGACCAGGCAGTGAGAAGCATGGGGACCTCACTCCCATGCTGACTGCTCCTGGGGCTGAATGTGATCGAAGCTCTCAGAGCTTCTGCAGAAGGGCTTGACAAGCTGGGGGGAGGCCTGAGGGGACTTCACCGTCCCTTAGAGGCCTGACCCTGCCACGCTTAGGCAGGACTCGGTCCAGGGCCTGCACGGTGCAGCTACAGGATGGGAGGTGAAGGAGACCTCAGTTCCAGCCTGGGTATTAGTGGGGTGCCTTGAAGGGACGGGAGGCCTCGAGGGGTTTGGGACAGGTGTGAGTGTGGGGCTGGGGTCCACGGGGGCTCTTGGCCTCTCGGGGCATTTGATTCAAGCAACCCCTGAGATGGGGTATGGGAGGACACACTCCATCTTAGGTCCATGCAAGGGAGGTCAGGAGCATCGCTGGAATGACCTCCAGGCACTCGGACGGCGATGCAGCCCAGGTGGGGCTGGGCGCAGTAGGGCTGGCTTCAGTACTCTTGGGCACCTTGACCTCTGCCCTCCGGACCTCCGAAGGGGTCTGCAGGCACTTCTGGTGAGTCAATCGTCTGGTAGGCACTACGCTCCTGAGAAGGTCCAAGGAAGCCTGGAGGGCAGGGGACATGGAGAGAAAAAAAACGAAGAGTGAGAACTCAAGATGTTCTAGAGAGTCCAAACCAAGACCCACCCCAACCCCCAAGGCCAGAGCTGGGAATCCCAATGCCAAGGACAGTGATAGTGGCAGCAGTCCCAGGCACCGAGCCCTGTATCATTCATTCAATCCCCCCATATCCCTATGGAGCAGGTATTTTTATTGTCCGCACTTTGCAGATGAGGAAACCGAGGGTGGGAGAGAGAGAAACTGATGTGCTTGAGCTTACACAGCTCGAAGCTGATGATGCTGGGACTCAGCCCAGGAAAGCACGACCCAAAGCCAGTGCTCCCAGCCTCTAGGCCACGGTGCTTCCTCTGCAGCTCCCCTCCTAGGCACCATGGCTGAGCAGCAAGCTGGGGCCACGGTGGAGGGCAGGGCGGTGGGATTCCAAGCGCCCTGCACACCTCACTCCCATCCCCCACTCTGCATGTGTCCTGGGATCCTGAAAAAGTCTCAAGGGCTGTGGGCCTCAGCTTCCTCATGTGTCTAATGGAAGAATATTCCTGGCTCCCCTTGCCCTGGGCTCCTGCCCTGGTCCCAGCAGCACCCCAGGCCTTTCTCCTCAGGAGTGGAAGGTAGAGGACCACACCCCACCCCTCCCCACTTCTGAGAGAGAGAACGGAAATGAGGACACGTGTCAGAGAGAGCAGGTGAGTGGCTTGGCCGCCACAAGGAGGCCACAGTTTAGAAAGGGCAGTGTTGGCAGGCTGGAGACGAGGGCCCATCAGCCAGGCCTCTCCCTGGGCCGCCCAGCGCTGTCTCTGCCACAGGTGAGGGAAGACCCCACATGGCAGGAGAGCAGGGCTCCAGGGACAGGAGGAGGAAGAGAAGCTGCCCCTGCAGGTGTCTGCAGGCCGCAGGCTGGAGACTGCCCAGGCTGCCTCTGGGAACTGAATTACACCCCCAGCTGCACCTAGGCTCTGGGCTCAGGGCCTAGCCCTGCCACCAACTCTGCTGCAGCCTGACAGCAGGGAAAGGTCACAACAGACCGGAATAGCCAGGGGACCACAGGGCTCGTGCAGCAGAGACCAGGAGCTTGTGCACCTTCCTGCCTGGTATGGAGTACCACCCTTCTGCCTGCACCCTGAGCCCTTGTCCCATAGGCAAGGCAGCTCTCTAGGACTGTGGGTTAGGCAAGAGAGAGCTAGAGGAAGGTGGGGAGCTGGCCAGAAGCGGTGGCCTCGCCAGCATGGAATAGGAGCTCACCCCCGCGCTCCTGGTACATGGGGTAGATGAGGCAGCAGGAGAAGGGCTTGAGCAGCAGGCTGAGGATGGCCATGCCAGCGCTGAAGCGCTTCGTGTCCGAGAGGTTGGCCCGTGGGTAGAAGATGCTGATGTGGATGATGTCCAGGAAGATGGTGGCCAGCAAGCCGACCAGAAACTGCAAAAGACACCGGGCGCAGGCCTAGGGTGACCACCTGTTGCCACAGTTTATGAGAACACTGACACTCCCATCATGCCCACCGTATATAGCAGGCTGGAAGCTCGTTTTGTGCCCTGCTGTGTCCTTAGAGATCGCTGTAAAACAGACGGATCAAGCAAGCAGGCAGGTCCCTGTGGATGCACCGCCTGGCTGGGGCCCCCACCTCCCACCCATCTCCTGTCACCCCTGAGGCCACAAAGGGGCACAAGACTTGGTTCCAGAATCTCCAAGATGGAAGGTCCCTTGGAGTTTATCCAATCCATTTCCACTGCAAAGAAAATCTCTTCTCAATCATCCTGAGCAGCTCCAGCCTCGGCTGCTGGAATGCTCACTGTCTTCTCCTGCTTCGTGGGTGCTGGAAGCTCCCCCTGTGGGCTGTGTCAACTCTGGCTTCACGAAGTAGTGGCATTCCCTCTTGGCCAGGCACCCCAGCCACATCCCTTCCCCCTAAAAGAGAGCCCCAGAGGCAAGTTATAGGGCAGAGGCTCCTTTGTCCTTGGGGAGTGGTCAATGTAGGGCACTGGTGGGACCCCACCCCATGCCTTTCTTGGGGAAGACAACAGCAGACTTGGGGTTCTCTAAGTCAAGCAATCAACCAGGCTGGTGAGCACACACATAGGCTGGGAGCCTGATTTACAAGGCTTTAGGAAATCGAAATGGGGCACAAGGAAGAGAAGATTGATAACAGATGAGGAGAAGCAAAGCTGGACCACGGCTCACCCTGAAGCCAGTCCCTGTACCACAACGCCTGTCCCGGCCTGCCCCCGAGCTCACCATGCTTATGGCATCCACGGAGTCCCGCTGAGCCACGGCCCACACGCCCAAGGCCAGGATGCTGAAGTTGGCCCACGCATAGGGGCCGGAGAACACGATGCAGCCCCTGTGGGAAGAGGCACCTCAGTCAGGCAGCCACCGCGCCAAGGGTGCCCCCACCCCAGGGACTTAAGGCCTCCTTTAAGAATAGGCCACAGTCTGCGAAGCCACCGGCCTCTCATCAGAAATGTCTGCAAATCCCAATGCCTCTGCCTCCCACCCAGATCCTGAATCTGGCCATGTCCCTCCAGGTCCAAGCCACCACCCTCTCCTGCCAGGATTCCTGCCCTAGCCTCCCCACACTGGGCTCCTGACAGCCACTCCTGCCCCCTACAGTCTAGCCTCTGAATAGCAACAGGTAATGAAAAATCAGATGATGCATTCCTCTGCTAAAAATCCTCCAACAGTTTCCTGTCCCACTTGGAATAAAATACAGACTCTTCGCCACGGCCCAAAGGGTCCTGTGGGACCCCAACACAGCCCATGCTTACTTAGCTCCAAGCTGCTGCCTTGTACTGCTCCCTCCACCCTCAACGAGTGGCTCCTTTGTCATTGTCAGCTCAAATGTCACTCCGAAACCCCTCCCCTCACTTTCCTAACACAATACCCACCCTATTTTATTTCTTAGGGTATTGCTACTAACCAACATTGTTTACTTATACGTTTGCTTGTCAATCCAATGAAAATCCTAGTTAACACTCACAGAGCATTTGCTAGTATCTGGCATGGTTCTAAGTGCTTTAAATTAACTCGTTTATGTGTATTTGTGTCAATATCACTAGGAGGGAGGCACTATTGTTACCCTCACTTTACAGATTAAAAAAACTCAGGCCCAGAGATGTTAAGTAACTTGCTTAAGGTCACACAGCTGCTTGAGGTGGGTCTGGCTTGAGAGGCCATGCTCCTGCCCCCCCCCACCCCCCTGTCTACTGCATAGAAGATTCAGGAGGACAGGGGCTTTGTCTACCTTATTTACCACTGTATCTACTGGGCCTCAACTGCCCCGGCATACAGCAGCACGCTTCATAAATCTGAATGAAGTTCACCAAAGTGTGACATGCAGAAAACGTGTGCAAAGCAGTTAAGTATAGAGTGCAATTAGGCTCAATCTGTGTTTGAATAAATCATCTCAGTATTTTGGTTTTAAGAAAGCAGGTGCCTGGGCTCCAGCCTAGATTCACCAACTGAGAATCTTAGGGAGTACGACTGAAATATCTACATCTTGATCCCGCTCCCCAAGGTCATGAACCATGATTGCCACTGTTTGCATTATCCACAGCTGTTCGTATGTACACCGCACTTCAAAGTGTGCAAAATGCACACGTGAACTCAATGGTTTCCACTCTTGATTTGGCAGAGAAATGTTCCTGGAAGCCCAACAGATAAAAGAGATGGTAGCAATGACAATGAAGCCTGCCATCCTGGAGCCCCGGCTTGTGGCAGCCCTGGGCACTGTCTGATAAGCACTGCCACATTGCACCCTTGAGGCTCCTGCAGGGTGTGTGGTCCTTACCCCCAGGTACACATGGAAACCGAGGTCCTGAGAGGTCACCTGCCCAGTGATCCAGCTGAAATATGGCAGAACTGGGACCTGACCAGTCCGACACAGACCCCAGTAGACACATGGACAGACCCTGAGACCCTGGGAGACACACAGACACAGACCCAGGGAGACATGACACAGCCAGGAGACACGTGGAAGCAGCCGGAAACCCGTGGAGCCACTTACCAGGTTGTCAGCAGCCAGTGAAC